TCTCTCTGCATTGTTTTTTGTTCTGTGCACTGCAGCTACCTTGTTATCCCTTGACTCTCAGTTCTGTTCCTCTCAACTGAGACAGTCTTCTGAACACCACCTGGATTCTCCTATCTTCATCCATAGCCTGGAAAGTTTCCCAAAACAGGAAACTGGGACAATTTCCAGGCTCATTTCACTTTGTTTCCTGACTCTCAGGTTTACTACCCTTTGTTTCTTGCTGTCTGCTGTCATGAAAATCATGGTTTTATATACTTTCTCCAATTGTTGGTAGATTTAGGTGGGAGGATAAATTTGATCCCTATTATTACATCTTGGCTGGAAGTAGAGGATACATCAATATATTTTGATATACTATATTTTAACATACTGAAAAGCAGTAAGATTCTGTTAAGAATGTAGAACTGATCACAATTATAGAGGACAAGTTGCTTACGTTTTCATATTTTCATAATTTATGTATTGACTACTCCCACTCCATATGACATATATGTACACATATAACTTCACCTAAATTTTTAAAAATTGTATAAATTATACCAAAATATTAACTTTTAATCAGATCTATGGCTTTCCATTTTTCTTAAGATATTTATAAAGATTGATTTGAATATAACACATTATGCCTATTTTTATATTACTAAGATAGTATTTAGACTTTATAATTGAACACTCATTTTTACTTATATTGAAATCCATACCTTCAGATTTTTAGGGAAGATGAAAATAAGGCTAATACTGAGTACATTTAGAAAATGCATAATTAAATAAGTTTATATCCCAACACGGACTTTAGTTCAACAGGATGAATAAAAGGCAAAGCTACTTAAGTACAAGTACTATTGCACAGTATAGATGAGAAGAAGAGAAGAAACATAAAGGAGAAGAAGGGAAAAACAAAGAGAAAGAAATTGAAGGTAAATAAGGCCAAGCAAAAAGCAACCTAAAGAAGAGTAATGTTTAAGTCCGTTAGTAGCAAAGGTCCAGTATGGCCAGGACAGACTAACTTTGATAGAGCTGTGAATATGGGTACAAATCAGAGCTGGAACTTTATTCTTTATTCATTTGGTAAATCTTTGTTTAGTGTTTACTATATTGCAGGTATTATTTAAAACAGAAGGCAGCAAACTATGACCAATACCTATTTTGTATAGCACAGGATCTAAGAAGAATTCTTACATTTTTAAAGGTTAAAAAAAAAAGGATATGTAATAGAGATGGTGTGGGATGCAAAGCTTAAAATATTTGCTATTTAGTCATTACTGAAAAAGTCTGTCAATCCCTGGTTAAAGATATGGGGAATACAGCAGTATAAAAGAAAAAGAACAAAGGAGAGAAGACCTTGCACTTATGGGGCTGATATTCTAGTAAGAGGAATACAGATAAGCAATAAATAAGTGAAATATATAGTTTTGAGATGGTATGTAGATAATTAGAATAGGAAGGGGAAATTGGTCTGCTAGAGATGTGGTTTAGACTCTTAATGGCCCATAGAGCAAACGAGGGGATAGTCTTAGGATGAGGAATGATTTGATTCCTCAGAAACGCTGTACTTTTGAGGTGAGAAAGGTCATAAATAGATGGTGGCAAGCTGTGATGGTCATTTTGACTGTGATTGTTGTGGTGGGGGTAGCAAAGGGAGTGGTATATAAAGTCCAGCATTCTGAAGGTCTTAACTTTGCTGCCAGTGGTAAGGTGGATACTAAGGAAGGGGTGGTCTTATTGGGTTATCCAGCTTCTGGCTCCCTCTAGAAAAGCAAAGATATTTGGAACAGGGGATCTGCATATTCACGGCTGGGTTTGTACCATTTAATATAAACCATTATACAAAGGTTTACTCGAAAGAACTGTGGAGAGAAAAGTCGAGGAAGGAAGTGCCACAGCCCGGTCCTTGGAATGACAAGAGTTCTAAGATCAGGCATTTCCTGATACTGGCAGTATATCAGAAGAGACCACTGATAAGCACAGCGTTCCAGAATTTGAATAAATATGTGGCAAGAAACAAAGTAATTCCTATTGCTAGCATCATAACATAAAAAACACCATACAGAGTTAAATCATATTCACCCATATTGTTTTTATTAAAATATTTGTTAAGCACCTACTATGCACTAGCACTGTTCTAAGAACTGAAAATACAGTAGTGTGCAAGAAAATATGGATAAATCTCATGAAATTTACATTTGAATGCTGTAGGTAACTTCAGATTTTCCCATGTGCTGTGCTGGAAGTTGTGGTTTCCATGTGCAAGTTGGAAGGTACTACTTTAAAGATTTTATTTATTTATTTGATAGACAGAGATCACAAGTAGGCAGAGAAGCAGGCAGAGAGAGAGGAGGAAGCAGGCTCCCTGCTGAGCTGAGAGCCTGATGCGGGGCTCAATCCCAGGACCTGGGATCATGACCTGAGCCGAAGGCAGAGGCTTTAACCCACTGAGCCACCCAGGTGCCTCGGAAGGTACTACTTTAAAGAGGAGGGACAGAGGGACATTCTGAGGTGGTACCTTTTCTGCTGGCTATTGAAAAATCAAAAGGAGCTTGCCCATTCCATGAGTGAATGGGTGAGAAGAAGCAAAATGAATAAAAGTAAGAAGTCCCTAAGGCAGTAAAGAGCTGTCAGAACACTGATTTAAGACTATGGCAGTTTTGCTCAGGCAGTTTTGTCAGAGAGCACTAAGGATCCTGTGGAGACAATGCCTCCTGGGATGGCCTTCAAGCTGAAAGCTACCTTGGGCTTATTCTTGTTTATTCTTCCTTTGTTTCTGTTGCTACTGTTCATAGGACCAACGAAGAGTGTAGGGGAGGGTAATTTCCTTCCAAATATCATGCCCCTAAGATTCAGAACCTTTACATGGTGTCCTTTCTTTGTCCACAGTGGTACAATGCATGTCCACTTCATTTATATGCTTATTTTAGATAGCAGGAGGGCAATAAATTACCAATAACCATACTAGTAATATCAGTAGCTGAGATTTATTGAAAACTTGTATGTGCCAAACACCTCACATGTAGTAATTTATTTAGTCCTCAAGCTAATCCTGAGATAGGGAGTAATACTAACCCCATTTTTCCAGATGGAGAAACTGAGACAAAGAGAATTAAATGATTTGCCCGGTACATACAGCTATTAAGTGTTCAAAACTGGCAGTATGATGGCAGAATCCTCATGTGCTTAAAACTAATGTACTATACCCCTTCTTTCCTCCAGAAACAATTTGTAAAGAGAAAATAAATCCCAGGTATACACTTTCATTTTATATGGATAGTTTGCATCTCACCTAAAATATTACAAGTGTTTCTTATACTCTACATTTTCATTATCCTCATCATTACTATAAATTCATTTAGTTTGAAGTTGGGAACAATTGCTTTTTTGAGGTGTTAAGATCCTCTTTTTCTTTCCTTCTACCTCCACGCCTGTTTAAACTTCTTTTCAGCTCTTTAGGCTCTTGGCTAATACACTCATTCAGTCACTCACTCATTCAGTCAATCAATCAATTGATATGTTCTGCACTCTAGTTCTCCTCAGTTTCAGCTCAAATATTTTTGTTTGTTTCAAGTTTTTATTTAAATCCTAGTTAGTTAATATATGGTATAATATTGGTTTTAGGAGTAAAATTTAGTGATTCATCACTTACATGTAACACCCAGAGTTCATCACAAGTTCTTTCCTTAATGCCCATCACCCATTTAGCCCATTCCCTCCCTTCCTCCCTCCATCAACCCTCAGTTACAAAGTCAATCCCTGGTTTAAGATATGGGAAATATAACAGCATTTCCTCTTGCCCCCCCTTCCCCTATATTTATGTTTTGTGTCTTAAATTTGTTTTTATATGATGGACTTATTTCACTTAGCATAATACACTCTAGCTACATCCACATCATTGCAAATGGCAAGATGCAGTCAGTATTTTTGTATCCTTAGGTAAATACCTTTGGGTAAATACCAATTGCTGGGTTGTAGGATAGTTCTAGCATATCTTTTCCTCACAATTCCATCACTCTTCCAACTCAGTCTCTTTCTTTTCCCTGCATTTCCCCCCACAGGTTTATGACTTACTGTTTAGAAGCAAATTTTAAGGATGGAATACCAGGCACTTCACTAAGTTCACTTTAAAAAAAAAAAAATGTATTTTATTTATTTAAGAGAGAGAGAGAGAGTGAAAGCACAAGAAGGGGGAGGGACAGAAGGAAAGGGAGATGGAGAAGAAGACTCCCTGCTGAGAACAGAGCCCAACATGGGGCTCAATCCCAGGACTGTGAGAGCATGACCTTAGCTGAAGTCAGCCACTTAACAGACACCCAGATGCTCCAATAAGTTCATGTTACCACGTAATCTTACTTTTGCATGCCAGACAGTTAGTATTTGTGCAATTAAAACGTGTCACTTAGATAAAGAACAACCAATAAATTTTACTGGGTGAAATTAATTGGGTGAATTTTTTTCCTACTCATGAATTTTCCTCACCTTTATGAGCAATTTCTTAGTTTACTGGAAACTAACAAACTTACTAAATCAAGTAAAGCTTAAGAGATTACACCATATATGAAAATAAGTAATATAGGTTTCATTTTATAAAAAATAGCAAGTAACTCCAAATACTCTTAAAAAAAAACTCAAAAACTTTAGTTAGTGGGAAAATGACTTTTTATTATCAATTCATTCATTCATTCATTTCATTTCTTTTGGTATTTTAAGCCAAATCTAAAAAATTCTAAGAAATCACACAATGCCTTCTAAATTTGACTTATATATGAGAATGCCATATAAGAAAACATAAATTAGAGAGTTAAATATTATCACTGATTTTACTTCATTTGTATTTCTTTTTTTCCCTTTTCATTTATATTTCTAGTCAACACGTACAGTTCATTTCAGAAGCTCAATTAGCTATCTAACTTCACTGAACAGGTTTTACTTATTCATCTCTATGTGTGCTATAGAGTCCTGGACAAAATGACCAAAATACAACAGATCAAGACATGGGAAAAATTCCTTACCTTTAAAGAAGACAAAATTCCCATCACTGTTTTCATAAACTGCATCGATACTAGGAGGCAAGCCCCGCCAGAAGTAAGTAATTTGCATGGGGTATCCATCCATCACCCTGTTGTTTCTCACTCGCCAAAACCACTGGTCCTGCAAACCAAGCAAAAGCATCTCTCAACAAACATGCAGGGCTCCATCGCATTTCCCTGTGCAATGGTGTAACCCTTCTAAAACTAAACTAGTGTCATTTTCACTGTATCAAATCAAAAACATCAAAGAAACAGCTAATCAACTTGCTTACAGTGATGACAGTTGTTTTTGTAGCCAACTGTCCAATCTCTAATCCATACAATGTGATTAAAAGATAATGTAAAAATATTTAACTTCAACATTTTACATTATCTCCAGGGCTTTTAGATGGAAAAAACAGAAGTAGTACAGACAAGTCCCTGCCAGATTTGTGGATTAAGTCAGTATTCCTGAATAAGAGAGCAGCATATGGACATGTATACATTTACAGACACAAACTTAAAATGTTAGGGATGGAATAAAGAGGCCATCCCTCCTGCTATGCCCACATTACACCCATCGTCCCCTATAATTGTAAGTAGTGTCCTCTTTCACCCTCATATATGTTTCGGTTTGGATGATAAGCTATATGGTCACCCTAAATGAACAAAGTTATCTTGAAAAAAAATTATCAAAGTGATTCCAGTCTGCGTCAACTGCCTCCCCAATATGCTCTCACAGTATCTGGACTTTACTCAATCATAGCATCAGTTATTTTATGTAAAAAGTGTCTACTCTTATCTCAGTGAAAATATATGACTTGTCTCATAGCAAGTGCTTATAAATGTTGTTGAATTAATCATTAGCTTGCACACAATATGTTTCTCCATAAATTCTTAGTAATGGCATGACATTCAATTATTTTCTATGGAAAATTTCAGAATGGAAACTATTCAAAATGCTTTAATATTAGAAAAATAAGGTATACTTTGAAGTATACTCTTTCACTTCATTTCAAAATTTTATATTTACAAACAACATTTCACTTGGAAAACATTTATTTGTACTACTTAGATAAGTATATTTCATGAAAGTATTTCCAATTTCCCTTACTTAGATATTAACAAATGATTTATTATAGGGCTTTCCCAATCTTTTGGCTTACAATAGTTTAACTGACTAGATTTTCTAGGATTTGTGAGTTATTCATATAGTCATTCATACACACACACACACACACACACATACAGTCAACTGGGGATTCTTGGATTTCAGGTGATACGATAAAAATGAACCTTTCTCCATCTAAACCAATCCAAATATAAAAATTTTCTTAGGAATCTTTGGGTAGTTGTACTTCATTCTAGTTACCTTGAGTTGTCTTCTCTACGAACTTTGTTATTTATAAAAAGAAGGAAGTAGCTTAATTAACACCTCTAAGTTTGTATCCTATTCTTGCTCTGTCCCTTAATAATGGTCATCCAGGTCAAGATACTAGTCATTGAGTTATTACAAACTAATAACTGACTTGTAGTATAAATACTGCCTTATTTTATTTTTATGTAGGCCCCATGCCCAGTGTGGAGCCCAGTGCAGGGCTTGAACTCAGAACCCTGAGATCAAGACCTGAGCTAAAATCAAGAGTTGGATACTTAATGGACCGAGCCACCCAGGCGCCTCTAATTACTTTTTTAAGGATTTTCTGAAGACCTGGCACACAGTTGGCTGTTATTATTGTTAAAATTATATTGAAACTCGTTATCTTACTTTCCTTCACAATCCTGTTTACAGTTCTGCTGCTGTTCTTTGTTCTCTCTTCAGATTTCAGCCATATTATGGCTCTAGCCACGCATCTCTCTCTTACCAATATCTTCTTACGTTATTAACCTCTTCTTGATAATTTTTATGCTACCAGCTAACCTGAATTAATACATATCTTGATTCACATATAGTAGATACATTAAACTGATTTTAAAATACAGAGTTATTCTGTGAAAAGATTGATCCAGGAAAATTACATGGGCATGAAGATCCAGGGCTTACTCCTATAGTATGTGAGAAGATGATATTCTGATTATTATTTTTTTAAATAGATTTATTTATTTATTTGGAGAGAGAGAGAGAGACACATACACATGGCAGGGAGGGGCAGAGGAAGAGGGAGAGAGAAACCCAAGCAGACTCTGTATTGAGTGTGGAGCCCTAAATGGGACTCCAGGCCAGGACCCTGAGATAATGATCTGAGACAAAACTGAGAGTCAGAGGCTTAACCAATGTGCCACCCACATGCCCCTCCACAAAAAATATTTTTTGTTTTTTTCTTTTTTAAGATTTTTATTTATTTATCTGATAGAGGCACAACTAGAGAAGGAACACAGCAGAGGGAGTGGGAGAGGGAGAAGCATGCCCCCCATGGAGCAGGGAGCCCCAAGCAGGGCTCGATCCCAGAACCCTGGGATCATGACCTGAGTTGAAGGCAGACGCTTAGCAACTAAGGCACCCGGCACCCCCACATAAAATATTCTTAAGTAACTGTAATGTATATCCAAAAATAATAAAAATGGCTAAATACCTACCGGACTCTGACAAATAAATAACTGACCATGATTATTAATGGAACAATGAAACTGAAAGCTCTCTGAGCTGAAGGATTGGAAAAAAAAAAAATCAGGGGAAAAAAAAAACACCCTGAACCATATTCCAATTTTTCTCAGAGAAGCACTTCACATTGTTCTGTCTACCCAGTACTGAGACAAGGCCAGTGGCTCTTTGGAACAGCCATATGCTGCTATGTGAAGATAGGAACACAACTTCAACTTGCCACTAATACAGGAAGAAACAGAAATTTTGCCTCAAGATAAGCCAATTTGCAAAAATTCAGAAAGTAATATGGAATAATAGGTGAAATCAGAACAATTTCTCATGGACAGCAGCCTTGGCAGAGAGTGATATAAACTGTCGATATTCAGGTTGTGCTTCTATTCAACTTATCTACACCTTCTCAGAGTGGTAGAAAGCAACGGTACAAATAAGTTAGCAAGCACGCTCTCACAGAGGAAGTAAACATATCATAGTCACTATAGAGTGCCATTTCAGAAATTGAGCTTGTGAACGATTCGTAGAGAGAGGATATTTAAAATGTTATTTAAGTCTCTATGCAAATTTTCCTTCTAAGTGAAACCTCCTCTGACCGCACAATCTAAAATTGAATTCCCTCACTCCGCCCACCCACATGTGCTTTCACTCTCCCTCTCCCTTGCTTTATTTCCCTTCACCATGTTGATCACTGTTTAACACAGCACATGTTCTGTTTATTGTTCATTCTCTCTCCACTAGAATGTAAGCTCCATGATGGCAAAGTTATGTTGATTCATTTGTGGCTCCCCATTTCCAGAAAAATATCTTGCCCATGGTAGAAGCTTACTAAATATTTCTTAAAAGCAAACGCATTTAAGGAGGAAAGGACAAAGTAAAGGTTAAGTTATCCTTTCAGAAGTCAAAAGCTATGCAGATGTCACAAGAGTACACAAGTTCCACTTGAACAGGCAGACATTCAGTATATATTCCATTATTTAGAAAGGTATGATGTATTCAAGGTCTTTGAAACATGCAGGGGGAAAAAAAAATTGTTTCACCCTTCCAAACACTGTAGCTTTTGTTTTGGCCTTCAGTATAAAGGGAAAGAAAGAAGAATCTGAGCTCTAAATCTGTTGTTTCTATCTTGCCACTGGCCTTTTTTTGGCTACAGCCCTTATAAAAGGGAGTGGAAGGGGTGGAAGCATACCCTAAAAATAATCAAAACTAGCACATTTGCAAAATGAACTCATGAAAAAAACAGTGCTTAAAAATTACCAAAGAGGAATTCCTACTTAAAGACCAATATTTCACTTTAGATAAAAGTTTACACAGATTTGTCTTTCCATGTAGCATGGGACCCAGGCAGACCACTTTGTTCACAAAGATAAATACACAGAGTATGCCAGGGTGTACACCATGAGGCAATAAGGAGAAATTTAGTTTGCTTTTTTTTTTTAATTCCCTTTAAAATTCTGTATTAATACAGGCATATTGTTTGCTGACAACTCTAGAGAAAAAGTATCCTCCTGCTGTCTGAATATGAAGATCGGTTATTAATCTATTCTCGGGAAAGGGTGCTATTTTCAGACCTCTTTTTAGAAGCCAATTAGTAAACCTGATCTACTTTGGCTTCTCTTCTAATCTATAGATTCATTATTTAACCGAAAACTTGATATAAATCTGTGAATACCTCACATGTCTACATGAACATTTCCAGAAAGCATCAGTTGCTCTCTCAGCCCTCGCCTGCCATGCCACTGTGGGCTTCCTCCAGTCTTCCCCACCTCTGAAATAGCATCTCAAAACTCTTGATTCCTTGCCATCATCACTGTCACCATCCTACTCCGAGCTGCCACTGTATTTCACGGAGATGACTGCAATGCCAACTCAAAGCTACCAATTTGCCTCCTACTGCATCTAAAATGGAATTCAGACTCCGTCCCTGTCTCCAGCCCCTGCACCAATTGCAGGTCCCTTTTGTGCTCATGACGCTCTACCTGCATTGGCATCCTTTCAGTTTCTGATAGAGTAAAGCTCTTTTCTTCCTTAAGACTTCTACACCATTTGCTCTACTTTGAATGTTCTTTCCCTTCCTCACACCATTCATCCAATTAACTGTGAATCACCTATGCATTCTAGCTGAAATTTCCTTTCCAAAGAAAGGCCTTACCTGACCCATGACTGAAATTAGGTGACACTGTTTATACTGTTCCATAGTAGTCTGTAATTTCACTTTACAGCACTTATACCATCTGTTACCATACTACCATTTTTTAAAAATAAAAGATTATATTTATTTATCTGACAGACAGATCACAAGTAGGCAGAGAGGCAGGCAGAGAGAGAGGAAGAGAAGCAGGCTCCCTGCCAAGCAGAGAGCCTGATGCAGGGCTCGATCCCAGGACCCTGAGATCATGACCTGAGCTGAAGGCAGAGGCTTTAACCCACTGAGACACCCAGGTACCCCTATATTACCATTTTTAAAGTGACACAGTCTTCCCCCTGCTCCACTGTGCTATATGCCCAAAGAAGTAGGGACAGTATATTTCATTACCATTGAATTA